TTGGCTGATGTTGCCAACCACTCACAGGGCTGCCTGAAAACACCTAGGGTATGACGTTTTACAAAATGGTGTCCTCTGGGGCAAAAAGAGGTGGAATACATAGACTATGTGACCAGAAGAGGGGAGGGACTTCAGGGGCAAGTGGGACATGTGACCACCAGTAGGGCCTGGCCCTTCTAGTGGGAGTTGGGGGCAGAGCACCTGTCTCTTCTTATCTTGGATAAAATTTGGCCTTATACTACTCACCAAGTTGAACATGAGGCAGCAACGTGCTTTTTTAGCAAAGGCGGCCAACAGCATCCTTGTCTGCATTAAGCACAGTGTTGCCAGCAGGTAGAGGGAGGTGATTATTCTCCTCCACTCAGCACTGGTGAGGCCACATCTGGAGTACTGTGTCCAGTGCTGGGCTCCCCAGTACAAGGAAGACATGGACATACTGGAATGAGTCCAGCAAAGGGTTACAAAGATGATGAAGGGACTGGAGCATCTCATACGAGGGGAGGCTGAGAGAGCTGAGACTGTTCTGCCTGGAGAAGAGAAGGCTCAGGGGGGAATCTTATCAATGTGTACAGCGGTGTCTAGTGAAAGGACGAGCAGTAATGGGCACAAATTGAAATACAGGAAATTCCACTTAAACATAAGAAAAAACTTTTTTTACTGTGAGGGTGGTCATACGCTGGAACAGGTTTCCCAGAGAGGCTGTGCAGTCAGCATCCTTGGAGATATTCAAAACCTGACTGGACATGGCCCTGAACAACCTGCTCTAGTTGACCCTGCTTTGTACAGAGGGGCTGGAGTAGATGATCTCCAGAGGTTCCTTCCAACTTCAACCATTCTGTGACATATATGCCAATTAAGAATCCATAGCTTATACACTGTATAGCATTATGTACTTCTGTCCAAAGCTGTTGGGTGGCAGATGGCAGATGTTTTAGTCTCACTATTCCAGTATGTTACAGGATTTGGGGGAAAAAAAATCTATTATCATACTATCATGAAATAGAACTGTTCTGTTCTAGCACTATTTTTTTCCTGGATTCCTGAAATTCACTAAAAATAGCACAGTGGGAAAAAGCAGGCTGAACCAGGCCTATCAATGACTAGTTCACAGATGAAGAATAGTAGTGCAAAGCACAGGGGAATGTGTCAGAAGCACTAATAACGTGAACATGGAAGTTGTAGTGCTTGCTCAGGCAGCAGAATTAGTGCTAACGCTTATTTATAGTCACTTAAAAGTGGATAAAGTGACCTTTCTGAGATAGATCTCCCATGCCAGTATTTAAATGAAACAATCAGTGGCAAAGCATCTGATCTCCTTGGGATGATTATACATAGACATCATTGGTGTGAGAATTGTGTGCAAGAACAAACTTGTGACTTGGAATCAATCCAGAACTCTTGGTTATTCCTAACTTAATAGCAGGAAAAGAACCCTTTTGCATCCCTCAATACGAAGAGAGCAGTATAATATTCTGTAAATTTACAGTACTGCACAAAGATGCTGCAAGAAAATTCACCTATTATAGAAAACTGCAAAACAGATAATGCTATCTAGATTAGCTAAAGTCATTTCAGCTAAAAAAAAATCCCTCAACACATACACTGCCCCCAACTCCCCCACAACTAGCTTCTCCCACCTCCCCATCCCCCAATCCAAGAAAGATAAAATCAGAATTTGAGTTGGTATGGTTTTCAATTTGATGTGTATCCAAGAGTGTCACATTACAGTCTATCCCTGTGCATCAGCATCAACAGATAAGAGCAAGACTTAAAGTAACATGCATAGGTAGGGCAAGTATGTACTCACAAACACATGAAGATGGTAAAGCACTTACTTACATTTTTTTCTCCATACAGTAGAAGACATTTTATTTACTAAGGGGCAATTATCGCCACACTTTTGGCACAAACATTTCAGCATTCTATGTAGCAAATACTATTCAGGGCTTTGCCAGCATTTCAACTGAGTAAGATGGGTATAAAGATTGATTATGAAACCATATATGTCCTTGTTCCAGTCATGCTGTGTTTGTTTAGTACTGTATTATGCCAGAAAGTTCTTTATGCTCTTGGGGAGGGAAAAAAAATGGAACAACTACCACCAGCCTGGCAGGATTTCAGTTAGCTTTTTTACTTTTATTAACAAGCATATAATATTATTTGGCAAAACACTGGATACAAGCTTCACTATCATAAAATCAAAACGTTAAGCAATAATCCCAAAAGGCTTATTCGGACAAAAACTAGCCACCAATAGTACAAAAATCACACAGGAAACAAAGCATAAAAATGTAAACTCTGAAGTGAAGCCAAGTAAAAAATATGGTCCTACACTGTGATAGTTTTAGTATCTTTATTATGCCACATAGGATAAAGGCTTAGTGATTGCACTGACTTATTGTCCCTTAACCTTAATTTAATGTTGCTGCAGAAAGAAAGAACAAACTCTCCTTTTGCCCAGTTAAATTACTTGGCTAAAAGGACGCTATTAAACCAATGTTTTAAGTTAAAAAAGATACAGAAACATCAGTCCATCCTTCAAAAATTAGGACTCCATCTTGCAGACACACATTTAAGCAACTTTGTCCACAACTTTGTCCACACGAATGATTCCACTGGTTTCAGTGGAACCATCCAAGTTAGCAATAAAGTTACCACTATAAGAGTTTGCAGAATTGGGCTTTTAGTCCCTGTCCTGCAATCTGATCTCAGCAGGTCATTATGGCTTCAAAAGGTTTCCAAGAAGACTTAAGGATTCACTCAAGTGGATCAAACAGCAGGAGTGGAGTTTTAATTTGTATATAGGTATATCACAATTCCATTGTAAAAATGTGACTGTTGGCTTGCCACAGAAGGCAGGTACCTAGAGAGTGTCTGTACTCGATTACAGATTTTGATGAAAGGAGACATTAAAGTTATTTTTCCATGCTAGTGTTACACACATTAATGCTCTCTCTGCACCTTTAAAAGAGACCAAAGTCAATACCTCTCAGTTATAGTTAAGTGCATCTTATGCAGATTCTAGTGTGTATGACAATTTTTATTGTCATTAACTTCAGGCAGAGGGACATCTCCGGTGAAACATCCAAACTGAATTGATTACCTGAGGAAACACAGAAACTAGATTTTTCTGTACAATTCAGCCTTATGTACTAAATACATTTCTTAAGTACTGCTGAGAAAACACATTTAAGATTCATGTGTTGATGTACAGGCTAGTTGGCTCTTTCCTATTATATTTAACTCAATAGTAAGATTAATATCATTGTAAAATAAGCTAGTTGTATAGTTACATTTACCATCCAACAGGAAAAAAAAAAAAGTAAAACAGTGAATCTCCTAAGACTAATTATGCTGTTATAACAACAAGAGCCAGATAACCTTTCAAAGGCTCATAGTCTATTGAAAAAAAATAGCACCATCATAGTTGGAGTCTGATATTTTTGCGGTCCCATATTCCCAGAGATGATAGTGTTGTGTACACTATTGCACAACCAATAAAAAATATTCCCAGGTTAGATGATACAGAAAGATACCAGACATAACAATGGCACAAACAAATTTCAGATAGGCTGCCATTTCTTGCAGACTACTTCCAAAATTCACATTAAAGTTTCTTGCCTGATCATTTATTTTAAAATATTGCTGATGGGTAGTTCTTGCAGTTACACATTTTAAAATCTCATAAAATTCCAAACGTCATTCTTTTAAAAAAATGCAACCCCCCCAACAAATGAAAACCTCAAACAAAAATCCATTGAATGTACATATGAAAAACCCCATCTACGTTCCTTTTCAATTTAGAAGTAGATGCTACATTTACAATTTAAACATATGCCTTATAAATGCATGTTTTGGATCCACTGCACAAAAGTATAAGTAATGCTCTTTATCCATACATAGCAAAGACATACAAATAAAAGCCATTCAAACTCAATATAAAAGGAAGAAGCTGTAGAAACATTTTACAATTTTATATGCCTGTAAATAAAGCTGGACCACTGAAACCAAAAATATTTGGATGATAAAATAAGACAGAATGCTTAATATAATAAATAATTTTTATAAATGTAACTTTTTAAAGCTCCCAAATCTTATTTAAATTCAATATTATATATTTTATCTGAATTATCTATTTGTAATGAAAACTATATCTAGTGAGACTCTGAGCCTGAGGTAATTCAGTCTCATTGGTGCTGAGGACAATGCAACAAGATACCTTTTACTGCAATTATTTACCAGCATAAGCAGCCGTGAAAATTACTTCACAGTAATGTTATCTTCATTAAAAACAAAATAAATTGATCATGACTTTAACAGGACTCAAGAAATATCTATACTGAGCCCAACTTTCAGATTTAAATATAAAAAAGAAAAACAATCAGTATTGTTTTACCCAATATAATCTTGACATTAAATCAACTGTTTCTTAAGCTTCAAAGAAGTGAAACAGGACTTTGATCCCAAGGCCTGCCTCTGACTTGAATTCAGTTGTAGTCTAGTCTTTCTATAAAGCTAGAAAATAAACAAATGGTGCAGACATCATCCCATCCCTCCCCATGGGAAATAGGTTTTGTAATGAAGATATTGTGACATATGATTTAGAAAAATTGGGTTTTGGAGTTCAGGTTTTTTGTTTTTTGTTTGTTTTTTAAAACACTGCTGAGGTTTTATCAGGTTTAAACACATTACAAAAGCTGTTGCACACAATTATGAGCAATAACCAGCTATAGATGTCAACACTGGCTACAGATGTGTACCTATATAGATATCAACAGATTTATATATATTGCTATAGCACCATAACAAATTCAAGTGATTCCAAAGGTAGTTACAAACTTGCAAATATATATTCTGTACTGTAGATTGTAACAGCAAGACTTAGAACTGAATGGCAGAGAGTTTTCTGAATGTACATGTTTGCAACTGCTAACCTCTTTTCAGTTGCACAACTACACAGGAAAATATTAAAATCCCAATATACTTCCTGCAGCTGAAGAATTAATTAGGCATTTACATAGTCTATGGGCTTGATTTCCACGTCTACGTCAGGGATAGCCCAGTATCTGTACATTTGGAGTGCATGGAGGATGGATGCTTATAACCATATTTGCACTCTCTGGGGGGCTCACCAACTAGAACTAGCCCCTGATTCACACTGGGAAATGTGCAACGATAGTCACATTAACAGCTCCAGAAAGGCATATTATGACAATTTGTGTACACATCCATATCATCTGCATTCACTTTTCAGTGAAAAATTGCCAAAAAAAAAAAAGACTAAATAGATCTCATCTGTCTTCTTTCTCCACTTCTATTAATGCTAAAAATAGATAAAAGCTAAATTGTAGATAAGAGAGTCCAGAAACAGTACAGCAAAACCAGAGCAAAGTTCTAATTCTATCACAAACACACACACACACGCACTCTAGGCCTTGATGTGAAGAAGTCCTGTCTAACTTAGGTGTTCAAATATAGTGGTCTCACGTCCTCATTCACAGAGATGGCAGTACTTCACTGACCTTACTGCAGCTCTCTTGACCATCCCCATTGTTCAGTAGGCTCTTTTTCTTTCTTTGTATTTCTTTTGATTTCCTCACCATTCACAGCTATGGTTATAATTTAAAACAAGGAACCCTGTTTCCAAAGACAAACAAGTGAACTTAGAACTTCCCTTTGGCAGCAGAACTAGGAAAGAGGAACTGAAAATTCCAATTAAGAAAAGCATGGAAGACATGCAGAGGAACATGGTGCTTGGAGAACTCAAGAAGCAACAGGACTTCCAATACTTGAATAAGCCTCTTGCGGGATCAACCTCCTATTATCGAGTAACATTAAGCAATGCTTTCTTGCAGAGGAGGAGAACACAGCTGGAGGAAGCAGGACAGTGCTAACAGGCATACTGATTTTCTTAGCCATTGACATTTTATGGAAGAATAAAAAAATGTAACAACTGCCATTTTCAGCTGACAGAAAAACTCTTCTAAGAGTTAGAAAATTAATAGCCTCCAGCTGCCAATAATACTGCATATCTTCTTTTCAGTGACTTGAGATCCTGTGTCAGACACATATCCATACTATATATAATGCTATACAGCATACAGCTTGCAGAAATCACTTTCGACTACTACCACATTTTTATAAAGCTGACTATTTTAAAAAGCCTTTCAAGCAACACAGTCAACATCCTGCTAAGCACTACTGAAGGTGGATTCTCTAAGGTGTGCGTGCGTGTGTACACAGACACACATACACATATGGTAGTTTGCATTTCTCAGGGCTTGACACAAGCAAAATTATCAGTTAAGGCCAGAAGGTGCCCCTGTAACGTAATCTGACCTCCAAGCTAATTAGTAATTGTGCTAAAGAAAGCTGTGGTTTCATAAAGAAATCAGTAAAAGAAATCCAGAATTGGTTTGCAATTAACTGAAGAATTTTTTGCTAGTTAAATGGAAACTTGCGCTGCATCAACAAAAGTTGCCCAACAGCCATGGTTTCAACAGCTAATGAAATAGCAAATTCTCCGTAAAGTAAAATTTGATTTTTGCAAGCCCCAATTATGAGACGCATTTTCTTTAAAACAATTTCACAAATTCAGCACTTCTGAGTATTTGTTATGATTTGATGCAATTTATGCCATGGCAAAATATTAAGGCATATTCAAAATCAAGTGAAATAATTTCTGTTAAACTCAAATCAACATGCAAAGGGAGAGTATCAAAACATTACTGAAATACAAAATAAAGGAGAACAAACACTGTGCAAAACTAATGAAGTTATTGGATCTCTAGGCTTTTAGGAAGTTTTTAATGCAGCATAATAAATATCATCAGTCACTATATCATTAGCTATGTTCAATGCTCTATAGGACGGCTTGATTAAAGCTGACATAACTGGGCATACTACATAAAACAAGAACACCTTAGAAAAACATACTGAAATAAGTTTTAAAGTTTCAAGACAAAAAAAAACCCTAAATGTAGTAATTTGGTGTTAAAAGTAACATTTTAAATCACTCCCACATTTTAAACTTATTTTTGTGTAACTACAAAGAGATGAATCAGGCTGAGCTCCATGGAACTGTGAAGTGTTTTCACTATCTGTAAACATGGTGCTGGTAGAGTCTTGTTGAGTTGTAATTTATTCCATTTGTACAAAAAAAAAGTATAAATATTTTTGTCCAAAAATCTGGGCAGCATGTCCCTAGAAGAAATATTCAAAAGGACACTCTGCTATGAAAGCACTACAGTCTTCCAAAGTGATTCTGCTGGTTTGCGTCATGTGAGAGTTAAGTGCTGCACTAAGGTGCCAGATGATAGTCTCTGCAAAAAACTGTGTCCAGAAGGACAATAAAGTCCTCTTACAGCAAGTCCATTTTGGGTCTGTAATGTAGAAGTAGAGGTGCTTTCTGCAAGACAGAATCATCAGATGGGTTAACAAGCAAAACCAAAATGAATTCATCTACTTGGCAAACAAAACTTATCTTTTTTCATAAGTTAAAGCTTAGAGGGACTATCAGAGTAGCTATATTCTGACCTTCCAAAATTTCACCAAGATGCCCCACCTATGGAGCCCAAAACAAGAGATGAAGAATCCTTCTACTTTTGTTTCAGTAACCGATTGAGCTAAGAGTAGCTATGCTAGGTCTGGACATCTAGAATAGGAACCTATTCCCAGCAGGGGCCGATTGCAGATGTTTGGAGAAGAGCACAAGAACAGGGCAAGTAAATAGTGATAGTCTCCAGAATGCCCCTCAATCTCAAACAATTCAGGGATTTCCTAAGCCAGATATGGGGCCTTATATTAATAGTCCTCACTCAATTCTTCTGTGAATTTACCCATTGCTTTGTTTAAGCTATGAAAACTTCTAACATCACAACATCCTGCAGCACAGAGTTCTACAGTTCAACTATATGTTGCATAAAGATTTGTCATAAAAGCCTCTATTGTGCGAGTTTGTGTGAATGGGCTCTATAGGTACTTATGCATGTGGATGGAAAAATAGTTACCAGAAAAGAGCAGGCCAAAGAGAGGAAAAGTACATGCTGAGAAGACCGTATGAAAGTCTCTCAAGGACTGATAAGCTCCAGAAACTAGTGGTCCTGTTGAACCCATAAGAACTGATAAACGCAGAACAGCAAGAGTCTACTGAATCTGTCCAAGGCCACCAGCACACACTGGCATCAATACTGGGTTGTGTAACTCAGATCACATGACCTGATGAAACAAGGGACCCCTGAGGGACTTTCTGAACACCTACCTGGAAGCCACTGGCATGTCAGTACGACCCTCTGCTTCTGAGTACACAGCTGGGGTTGGCCTCCCTACTGTTGCTCCAACCCAGTAACAAGTGAGTGTGTGCAAGTGAACTGTGCAATGGGAAAGATCTAGTCACACAGCACATTCACTTATTTACTATTAGCATTAATAAAATCAAGCTGATAATATTAACAGCTTAATTCATAAAAGGTGTTCTAATAAATATTGGTTGTGATCTGTGTCTCCCCTGACTCGATCTCCTATTAGGGAAAAGAGAAATGAGAACATCTTTTGATGGAAAACGCAGAGAACACAGGTCATAACCAAATTCTTTTTCTTCTGAGTGATCTTTTTGAATACACTTATTGTACTTGCAAGATGATTCTATAAATCCGACTGGTCTATTGTAATATCGTTGTGCACAATGCTTAAGGGGAACCTTAAAACAAAATTGAAAGCTTGGGAAAATACTAAAAAGGAGGATATTAAAGCGCTACAGGAAGCCCCAACCATGATGAAGATTACAGTATGGGCTACAGGCACCTCTCCACAGAGGGAGGGATGCACCACTTCAGCCCATAGAACAAGGGATGATATAGAACAAATGTTCAATTTTTGTAGAGCATATGAAATGAAACTTGAGGATACACCTCCTGTGTTAGTGGGACTTATATGGGAAGCAGCTAAAACATTTTGCACCAATCGAGCCAATGTAACAGCAGAAAATCAATTGCTTCGTTCTGAAAATTGTGCTTTAAAATAAACTATTGATAAACTTGAAGCAAGTTCGTCTTTAGAAAAGCAGTACTATCTAGCAGCTCAAAAACATCATAAAATGATACAACTGGAATTAGACAATCAGGTGAATTCAGAAAAAGAAAGAAAAACTGAAGAAGCAAGTAAAGGGATTAACATGTGTAGTACAGCATAAGGCAAGGAGAGTTCCAAGGGGATCTGATCATAGTAAACACAAAGCTAAAACTGGATACTTGCAAAAGCAGATCAGGATGCAAAAAAGCACTGCTATATCTGTGACGGAATTAGATGGGGGACCAGAAGAAGATGATATTGGGGATGATGTGTATGAATAGCAAATGAAAGAGGAGCTACAACTACAAGAACAGGGAGGTAAAGCAGGTAAACCAACTGTACCTGTTATAATAATAATAATAAATAGATACACACACACACCAGGGGATGTGAGACAGCTAGATGCAGATCTTGGGTCACTGAAAGAAAGTGGGGAACTTCTAGAAACTGCTTCAAAAGTGGAATTAAATAGGAATGAAATAGGTAAACATATCAGAGCTTGTACGACATCAACTTTTACTGAAAATGCACATCACTCACTAAAGGGATCGGTATACACCCTTTTTGATGAGTGCATTAAATCCAATTGTCTAACAGATCAGAAAGAAAAAAAAAATGCAATTAGAAGCACTAAAGTTAATCCACATTCACAAAACGATTGAGGTTGGAAGGGACCTCTGGACATCATCTAGTCCAACCCTCCTGCTGCTCTCTGGGCAACCTGTTCCAGTATTCAGCCACCCTCACACTGAAAAGTGTTTTCTTATGTTCAGATCGAATTTCCTGTGTTTCACTCTTAGATCATTACCTCATCCTCTCACTGGGCACCCCTGAAAAGAGTTTGGGTGAGCCCTCTTTGCACCCTCCATCATGTATTTACAGACATTCATAAGATCTGAGCCTTCTCTTCTCCAGGCTAAACAGCCTCAGCTCTCTCAGCATCTTCTCCAGTCCCTAATCACCTTTGCAGCCCTTTGCTGGGCTCACTCCTGTACGTCCATGCCTTTCTTGTACTGCGAAGCCCAGCACGGGACAAAGCACTCCAGATGTGGCTTCACCAGTGCTAAGCAGAGGGGAAAGATCACCTCCTTCGACCTGCTGGTAACTAATGCAGTGCAGGATATCATTGGCCTTCTTTGCTGGGAAGGTGCTTTCCTGGCTTACGTTCAGCTTGTTGCCCACCATGACCCCCAGACCTTTCTCTGTAAAGCTGTTGACCAGCTGGTCAGCTCCCAGCCTGTCCTGGTGCATGGGGTTGTTCCTCCCAAGGAGCAGGATTTTGCCTCTCTGCCCATTTCTGGCAGAGAGAGGCCCCTCTAAGTGCCAGCACAGCCCTCTAGTATATCAGCCACTTCTCCCAGTTTTGTATCATCTGCAAACTTGCTCAAGGTGTACTCTGTCCCATCATCCAGGTCATTAATGAAGAGGTTAAACAGGATTGGCCCCAGTATTGACCCCTGGGGGCTACCACTAGTGACTGATCTCCAGCTGGACTTTGTGTCACTGATCCCAGCCCCTTGAGCCCTGCAGTTAAGCCAGTTTTCAGTGCACCTCACTGTCCACTTATCTAGTCTGTACTTCATCAGTTTATCTATGAGGCTGTTACAGGAGACAAATCTATAATTGATTCCATAATTATTTTCCCTATAGGGAGAGATCTGAGAGACATGAATCTATTTATATGTCAGGGAGCAGCAAGGGCCAGCTGCTCCCTACAGGACAGGGAGCCAAGTGCAATAACACAGCCAGTAGGGCAGGGGCCTCACCAGCTAGGGCCCAGCCCCACAGCACCTGTGCAAGGCAATCAGGGCAGACCTGAAGATGGTAGGCAGGTTCAACCAAGAGTCCAGATCATCAAGCAACTTGAGAGTGATCAGGCAGGTCTGAGGTCAAACAGGGAAGTCAATCTGCAGGTTGTGGTCAGAATCAGGTCTGGTGAGGGTAACCAGGGTCAAATACGGTTTAGTAATTGTTGGGCACATCCATAGTGATGAGTCAGGTCTAAGATCAGTGGGATAGCTGTGCCTGACCATGTATGACTGACCTGTAGACCAATGTTCCTACAACATAGCTCAGGTAGGGACCGAAGGCCCAAGCCTGAGCTTAAATGGAGCTCCTGGGCCCATGGGCAGGAGTTGTGGGTCAAGGCTCTAGGTGAGGCTGGTCAGGGCTATTAAGGCCTATTAGTGCACTCAGGGCTCTGACAGTAGCCTCCTCTCCCAGTAAGGTGTCCTCACACCTTACAGAGTTCTGAGGTCAGAAGGGACTTGCTGTGGAGTGATTTAATTGCTGTGGGTTGTCAGTGGGCTATATAAAGGGACATGGAGCCAGGGCAGGGACAGGGAACTGGGAAAGGGACATACACATGAGAAACTTGAGGGCAGGGTTGAGGGTTTCAGACTGCCTATGATTGGCCCCGGAGGCCAGACAGACTTAAGAAGAAGGGTCCAAACTGCCCCTTGTAGGCCCCCAGTGGCTGGGCAACAATGGGGAGTGGGGGGGTTTACTCAGGAGTCTGGGGCTGGGCAGATGGTCAGCACTATGGGGAGGATCAGAGCCAAAGGCCAAGCTGGTCACTCAGGAGGAGTCATAGGGGCAAGGCCCTGTGCAGCCTTGGGCTAGGCTCTGTGGTGCTTGGCTCAGGGCTCAAGAAGGCCTGAGCTAACTGTCAGGAAGCAATGAGGGCCAGATGCTCCCTACAGGCTAGGGAGCCAAGAGCCAAACATGATGACACAGCTGGTGATGTAGGGGCCTTGCTGGTGAGGGCCCAGCCCCATAGTACCCAAGCAAGGTGAGCAGGGCAGACCCAGAGATGGTAGCCAGGTTCAACCCAGAGTCCAGATGATCAGGCTAATTTATGGTGCTTAATCAGGTCCAAGGTCAAGCCAGGAAGTCAATCTGCAGGTCAGGATCAGGTCTGGTGAGGGTAACAAGAGTCAGGCACAGTCAGGTGATCATCAGGTAGGTCCCTATTGGCAAGGCACGGCTGAGGTCAAGCCAGGAAGTCAATTCACAGGTCAGGATCAATGGGGTCCATGGCCAGGCACAGGTATGGCTATGACTGAGCTGGAGACCAATGCTCCTACAACATAGCTCAGGTAGGGACTGAAGGCCCAGGCTTGAGCTCAAATGGAGTTCCTGGGCAAGGGGTGTGGGTGGAGTCCCCAGGGGAGGCTAGTCAGGGGCATTAAAGCCTATTAGTGCACTCAGGGCCCTGACATTATACTTACCTTTATCTATTTGATATCTTACAGGACTCATCCTATCAGTAACATAATAGGAACCCTTCCATTTAAGTTCTAAGGCATGTTCCCTTTTATCCAGTTTCAAATACATCAC